GGGATGCAGGACTGGGACAGTGAAGTGTTGAAGATCTTAGTGAAGACCCCAGCCAGCTGGTCTGCACACTCAGAACGAGTTAAGATCTACCGGGCGGAGATAGAGAAGTTGGTCGACTTCAAGGTCTTCGTCGGTACCCGCGTGGCTGAGATCCACGAAGTAACTCACTCGCACACCTGGTGTTATGTGGATTCAGCCCAGAACCCCCCGGATGATATAACCCGTGGGAAGTCCCTTCCCGAGCTGACCAGACCCAACAGATGGAGTCAAGGGCCTCCTTTCCTGCTCCTAGGTCCAGAACAGTGGCCTCCAGAGCCAAGTGGCACCCTGGCTGAGCCTCCAGGCCCATCTGAGCTCCGTAAAGAGACCTTTTGTGGAGTTTCTACCACCTTTGACCCCACCACCTCGAACTTCAGCAAATATGACACCTGGACACAGCTGCTGGAAGCTGCTATTACGCAGTTGCATGGGGCGGCCAAAGGCGGTGGAACTTCATCGGCTTATGACTATATTCGAGCAGAGATGCACGTCCTGAGAGAAGCTCAACAGCTTCCCTGAGGAGTATCGACTCCTTACGCAGGGGAAATCTATCAGTCGCAGCAGTCGTTTCCTTGCACTATCCCCTGAGTTCGACCACGAGAATGAGGTCATCCGTGTAGGTGGACGTCTTCGCCGCTCTGAAGATCTCGCCTTTACCAGCTCCCATCCTTTAGTTTGGGATCCAACACATCCAGTCACCCGCCTGTTCATCCAGGACGTCGACAGTCGCCTGCGTCATCCAGGGCCAGAGAACTCCAAGCAGCTTTTGCAGCCATGACCTCTGACCTGCAGAAGCTCCTGGCTCCCCAGAAGATCGTCTTCCACTTCAATCCACCAGCGGCTCCTCATTTCGGGGGAGTGTGGGAGCGGGAGATTAGGTCTGTCAAGACGGCACTCTACACTACAGTAGGATCCCAACCCCTTCAAGAAGAGGTCCTCCGCACGGTCCTTGTGGAGGTGGAGGGCATCTTGAACTCCAAACCACTAGGTTATGTCCTGTCTGACATCAGTGATCCTGATCCAGTGACCCCCCAACTGCTTTCTGATGGGGCGGCCTGATGGAGCACTTCCTCAAGTGGCTTGCCCCAAAGAAGAGCTCCTGAGTCGCCGGAGGTGGAAGCAATCCCAGGTGCTGGCTGACCACTTCTGGTCTCGATTCATCCGTCTGTACCTTCCAAACCTGCAGCTTCGGCAGAAATGGTGGTCATCCCCCGCAGATGTCACAGAAGGTTCGGTGGTGATGATCGTAGATCCTCAGCTGCCTCGCGCTTCCTGGCTCGTGGGGCGCATCTCCAAAGTCCACCCCAGTCCCGACGGGCACATCACGTCTGCTGACATCAAGGTGAAGGACTGGACCTTCACCCGACCTGTGGCGAGGCTGGTGGTACTGCCTGCCCTCCCGGACGAAGACAAAGGACAATCACCGCAGGGATTGTCCAGAGAAATTTTCTGGTGGCATCAGGGTGGCAAAGAAATCAAATGGGGTGGCAAAATCGAAGCCCTTTTTTTCTTACACATATGCAGGTGGTTATATATGGTTAAAATAATCCAAATGCAGTAAGCATACACGTCATATAACTTAATTATTGTCTGTAGCCCACATAATTAAACACTTTAGTTACATAAAACGTGAGTTTTGATGCTACGTACTGTACAGCCTGTATAATAAATAAATATGTAGCCCGTATAAAATCCAGAAAGCTACACAACATGGGGCGGTTCGTTTACAAATGCAAGTCTGCTTTTTGTCAGAAAACAGTCACATTGTTACAGCTTAAATTACACAAAATGTCAGAAATCTGCACTGTCATGAACAAAAATTTAAACCTAATTTTTTCATGATTTGTTGGATTAACCCACTGAGGTCTGAAATACAACCGGCCATTTTTGACTCCTTTTGAGTTTACGTTTGTATTTCACCCTCAAATTGTTAAATTTCCCCCCGTTGCCTTGTTTGGTATCTTTTCAGCTCAACTGAATTTAGTTGTTTTGACTGACATACTGCATTAGTGTTACTGATCTGAAATCACACAAAGAACTTAAAATCCTAGTAGTATTTTTTTTACTCTAAACAAAAACCCACAGACATGTTGAGCAAATGTTTATAACTTGAAATGCAAATATAAATTGTACATTTTGTAAACATAAACAGCTATTTATCTAAAAATGCAGCCAATACACCTGCCGCTTTTTTTTTCATTTTGTATAAGAATTTAAAAATATTACTAAAACTAAAGTGAGAGAACAATCAGGTGACGACAGTATTTAGAACAAAGCCTGGCTGATATATATGATCATAACTCTGGATTTACTGGCCTGTAATTAAAATTTAAAAACTTTGAAGTCTGAACTTTCAATGTTGCTGTGTCAGCTTACATCAGTCATGTGATTTGGAGGTGCAGCGTGTCCGTGGACCACAGAGGGTTAATAACACTCACCTTCCTTCCATTTCCAGAGTGTAACATCCACCCACCTGTGTAAAAAGCGAAATTCCCATGGTGTTGTTCAGAATGTGCTCTGGCACGATCATAAGCATGGCTTGCTACTGAAAACAAGAAAAAAGCTGGTCCTGCTATGGGCTGAACCATTTGTTACTGGTGCAGGGGGGGGACACTATGCAATATATTCAGTTTTAGCATTTATATTCACTGCTAACTGTAACTACGCTCAAAATGTTAATGCTATCTTATTTTAATAAACAACACTGTCATATGCAAAACTGGGGTGGCAAGGGATCATTTTAGGGTGGCACTTGCCACCCCATGCCACCCTTCTAGATCCGCCCCTGTGCAGCTCTACTTCAATATATCAAATATTTGTGTCATTCTCAAAACTTTTGGCCATGACTGTACTGAGAAGCTACGAGAGGTGGCCAAAGAAAAGGACGGGTCTTATCCATCAGAGAAAAACCCAACATACACCCACCCCTGCCCAGCTCCTCTCAGGAGACTGAGATGAGTATGAAGATGTCTAGCACATATCAACAGCCGAGGGTCCCCGCCCACGGGGAGCTGAGGGTCCCCGCCCACGGGAAGGTGATGCCACCCCATCCAGGTCAGTCCTCCTGCAGGTGCATGGGTCTGTGGTGGGGTGATTTAATTGTGGTCAATTTTAATCTATCCTCATGTTTATTTAACAAGAAAGTATTTTTAAAATCTGTATTTTACTTTTGTACCTTCATGTATTTAAAAAAACAAAAGTATTTAGAAAAAAGAGCGCGAGACAGCGCCTCCTGCTGGGACCTCACAGCCAGAACCTTTTTAAGTTAACCTGCATTATTTAAAATAGTTTCTGCTTTTATTTTGTGGACACTCTTTAAGCAATAACTTCTGTTTGACACGAGTCCAAACTTGTGGGATTTTTAATTTTAAGTTTAAACTCAAACTAATCCTGATGAGTTGGATCTTCAGACTTTCAATATGTGAAGAGGAAGAATGAGCCAACGCGATGAAGGAACAGGACAGATTTATTGGGACGTTTTCATTCACAGACCATAAAAACAAACATCAGCAGGTTCCAGTCAAACATCGTTTTAACTGCGGCGCTCGATTTCACATTAAACGTTTACAAAATAAACGAAAGAAGAAGACGAGGCGACTGATTTTTAACGTTAGTATCCTCCTCTGTACCCGCCGCCGCCTCTGTATCCTCCACCTCCTCCTCTGTAACCACCTCCTCCTCCACCTCCGCCTCCCCTATAACCACCTCCTCCTCCACCATAACCACCGCCTCCTCTGTATCCTCCATATCCTCCACCACCCCTGTATCCCCCTCCTCCTCCATATCCTCCACCTCCTCTGTATCCCCCTCCTCCTCCTCCATATCCTCCCCTGTAGCCTCCTCCTCCTTGGTAACCTCTGCCGCCGCCTCCTCCATCAAAACGTGGCATCTTCGGAGGTCGTGGACCGTCTCCCATCCTGCACAGACACACAAACAGAGGAGATGAGGAGATGTTTGAAGGTCTAAAGTTTGTTTTCAGAGGCGATGTGAGTAATAACAGGATGAAGCAGAGACCCAAAGAAGATCAAAACATCAAAGTTTCATCATAGAGGGAGAAAAATCTGCGATTTGAAAGGATGAACTAAAACGTTCCTTCATTCATGTGGAAAAAGGAAACAGGCAGGCTGCGTTTCCTGTCTGAGGACGTCCGTTACCTCTGGTTGGTGACCATCATGTTGAGCCTGGCCGCCGACGGTTTGGAGACGTGTCTGATGACGTTCAGGAGCCGCTCGTTGGTTTGGTCCATCTGTCTGATGTACTCCGGGTCTTTGGTCACCTCCACCACCACCGCCTCCAGGGAGGCCCGCAGAGCCAGGATGTTCCCCGCCACCTCGTGAGCAATCGTCAGTTTGATCCTGCCATCATTAAAGTGAAAGGTCACTGAGAGGAGAGCGAATCGCAGTGCCTCAGAGGAAACAGGAAGTGAGTGAGAGTGCTGACGAGCTGCAGGTCGGTCGCTCACTCACCAGTCGTCGAGCTCCACGATCTCTCCGTTCGAGGTCACCTTCTTGCAGGCGAACAGCAGCAGCTGCAGAGGACTGACCAGAGTCATCGCTTTAGCCGAGATCGCTCTGGTTCGGATCTGAAAACAGAAACGTCCCCACCCGAGAGAAATGTTGGCTGTGATGCTGCGAGGGCCGTAAATTCATCTAAATATTTATTTAGTGAGAAAACCTACAGAAAAAACCACCTGCTGTTGTTAATTTACACAGCAGCAATAATATTCATGTTAAAAGGTGAACGTGGCAGTTTTGGGTTTCACCTTCTCGCCGAAGACGAAGAATGGCGACGGGTAGATCATGTCGTGGCTGCTGAAGGGACAGTTGACGGAGGATTTGTGGATGAGGGCGTTGCGCCCCTCGGTGGTCAGGATCTTCCTCTTCTCTTTGTGGTAGCAGACGTTGGGGTACGAGCCGAAGGTCAGCAGAGAGACCACCACGTCCAGGTTGTTGTCCGGCCCCACCGTGTTGAACATCTGCGTCATGAGACACTCTGAGGGAAACGAAAGTGCAGGTGAGCTCCCGGCCCGTTCAATCAGCTTTGTGTGTCAGGATGGTGCGTTCGGGTACCTTCAGGAAATCCAGAGTTCACCAGGATCTCCTTCAGCTGGACTTTGGCCTCCCAGGTCATCCTCAGAGTCGACATGTTGAGACGTTTGTGGTCACAGAAGCGACTCTCCGCCTCCTCTCCGTTAATCCTGAGCAGAACAAGTGTTCACAAACGAGACGTTTCAGGGAGAAAACGACACCTCCTGCCACTCGTGTTGCAGAGGTCTTTTGTAACTTTACCACTCTACATGTAAAGTTTACCATTTTTCTGATTTAGCTATTCATTTTTAAGAGCACGCGGCACAGACCTGACGTCGTCCCAGGCCTGGAACACGGACAGCAGCGCCACGTGATCCGAGAAACGACTGCCAGCAAAGTTTCTGTGCACGAAGCCGAGACGCTTCCCCTCGTTGATGAAAGGCTCTGGGAAACAGGAGGCGGCCGAGATGGTGCACATCGCATCGCCGACGCTGGAGGGAAACACGAAAATGAGAATTTCATTTAAAGACGGGACGCTGAGAGAATCGGAAAATCAGCAGAGAGACGAAAAACTGACTGGAAGATGCAGCCCATGATCATCATCTTCCCCAGCCGAGGTTCGATCGGCAGCCGAGCCAGAATCCGCCCCAGAGGGGTCAGCTCGTCGTTGGAGTCCAGAGCGTCCAGCTCTGCAACAAACACGGAGATCACAGTGAAAATAATTCATGTGGAAACTGACGGCAAAAACAGGATCTTCAAAAACAAAACATGTCAACTTTATGAAGTACAGACAAGAATCAGACCAAAGGGCAGAGAACCCCAACACAGGCATAAAACAGGCCACAGCAGGGCTGATCATTTAAAATCTATAAAGCAGAGCGTCAGATCTGTGAGAGGACAAACCAAGACACACAGAACTAAGTTCCCAGCAGCCCCGATAGTCCGTTTCCCTTCAGACCAGGCCTTTCGTACCTTTCAAGGTGTGTTCGGCCTCAATGACGGCGTCCAGTGGCGGTGGCTCGATAGCCTTAGACAGGAAGTGGCCGATGCCTCCGAGTCTCAGCAGTTTGATGCTCAGGGCGATTTCATGCAGCGGAGTTCTGAAGATCTCTGGAGTCATGTGAGTCTCCAACCTGCACAGCCACACAGAGACACATGTTAACACCCAAACGCTGCAGCCCGCGGCGTGCCGGAGGATCAACGCGCCTTACTTGTCGAATCGAGCGCGGCTGCAGAGGTGGAAGCAGAACCCCGGTCGGACTCTGCCGGCTCGACCTTTCCTCTGCTCCAGGTTGGTCTTGGAGGCCCAGACGGTGGCGTAGTTGGTCATATTATTGTGGGAGGTGAACAGCTTCACTTTCTGCCTGTTAGCACAGCAAACAGTGCGACCTTTAACCCCTAACCCGCTCAGACGCTGACCTCAGGAAGAGAAACTACACCCGTGAGCGCAGCGACACTTACTTGCAGGAGTCGATGACGTAGACGACATCGTTGATGGTGATGCTCGTCTCGGCGATGTTGGTGGACAGGATGACCTGAAACGTCAGCGTGTGGTTCAGACATGCTCAGTGCATGTAGCACATATCAGACACACTTCATCTCATCCACGTCGGTCATCGTTGAAGCGGTTTGAATTCCACAAGTTACATTTAGGATGAAGCTTTTATGCATTCCTGTCACTGACCTTTCTGATGTCATCAGGAACCGGTTCAAACACCCTCCTCTGCTCCTCTCGAGGTATCTGAGAGTGCAGCGGCAGGATTCGGTACCGGTTGCTTCCTGAAAAGCACAGCATACCAGATTTTTCACAGTGCTCTCGCACGATGAGCAACAACGCTACACAACACCAGCTAAAAACCAAGATCCAAGAAGTCTGCTGCTTTCCACTGCAGTGTCAGGGGGAGTGTTTCGGTCAACAGTCCCCACAGCAGTGACTCTCCACTTAAGGTGTTATTGGTATTGTGTGGTGTGACGCGTACCGAAGTGTGGGTTGCTCTCCAGGTGTCTCTGCATGGAGTAGATGAGGTTCCAGCCGGGCAGGAAGACGAGCACGGCGCCGGCCACCTGCAGCGTCTCGATGTACTTCAGAAGCGCCTCCACCAGCTCGAAGGACGTTTCCTTCTCATTGATCTGAGACATCGAATGCTTCGTCTCCGGCGTATACTCCGGCCCGCAGATCACATTACAGTTAGTCTGGGGAGAAACGTTTTGCAATCACATGTAATTCTGACGTTCGTCACAGTGCAGAAGAATTTTAAAAACGTTTCTCACGTCGTCGTCTCCTCCCTCCTCGTCTTTGTCTTTCTTCTTTCGGTCCATCGGTGGAGGCACAAACTTTGTCATCTGGATGGAGTCCTCCAGGAAATACTCTGAAAACAAGGAAGAGGTTTTTTCAAACCTGCTGATATAACAATAACTGTTTACCACACTGATTATTGGCTTAAACAGTTTAGGGCAGGGGACCTCCAGGCCTCGAGGGCCGGTGTCCTGCAGGTTTAAGATGTCCTTCATCCAACACAGCTGATTTAAATGGCTAAATGACCTCCTCAACATGTCCTGAAGTTCTCCAGAGGCCTGGTCATCAACTCATCATTTGATTCAGGTGTGTTGACCCAGGGTGAGATCTAAAACCTGCAGGACGCACCGCGCTCACCATTACACCCAAACCTCCCGGCTAACGGGTCACCAAACACTTGTATGAGTGCTTATCCTCAGTTTATATTACAGGAAAGTCCACAGACAATCATCATTTTAATGTTTCCACACACAGGTGAGGCCGGTGAGTCGGAGGTACCTTGGACAGGGAAGGTGCGTCCAAACACCTCAATGACGGGGCAGCTGAAGAAGTACTCTCTGAACATGGTGGTGTCGATGGTGGCCGACATGAGGATGATGCGCACGTCCGGGTATGCCTGGACCACGTCTCTGAGGACCACCATGAGGAAGTCCGTCTGCACGGACACACAGAGGGTCAGACACATGGACAGAAGCCCCCGGGGTGTTTTTGGCTCAGTGAGTCCCTAAAAATCAGCGAACAAACAAACTCACGTTGATGTCTCTCTCGTGGATCTCATCGACGATGACGTGACTGATGCCTCTGATTCCTGCTTCCAGTTTCCGCAGAAGAACACCTGAAACACAAAAAACACTCAGATCTACACGGCCGGACCGCCAAATCGCTTCCCCCGCCCAGCGAAGTAACCACGGCTTCGCTGCTTAGTTGCTGAGGCAACTAAGCAGTATGGTTTCCATACCGACGGTGCAGAAGAGGATGCTGGCGTGGGGTCGAGGCAGGACGGACTCAAATCGGACACTGTAGCCACAGCTTTTCCCAAGATCCTCTGCTCTCTCAAAGGCGACCCTCTCAGCCACGGACACGGCGCTGATCCTTCTGGGCTGCAGAGAAGAAGAAGGTCAGGGCTGCTGTGCGGAGGTTTACGGAGCACACGGAGCTCAAACATGGATCAGACCTCAAACTGCAATGAAGTGAGCTTAAAGCCGCTTAATGTTTGCTTGGTCAGCAATACAGAAGACAGGCTGTAAGCTCTCAGGTAAACGAGGCGGGTGAAAGGACGCCTCGGCGTTACCTGCGTGACCACGATGTTGCAGTCCGATGCTCGGCCCCCCTTGATGAAGCGGTCCAGGATGTACTGAGGGACCTGAGTGGTTTTACCGCAGCCCGTCGCTCCTCTGATGATCACCACAGGGCTTTTGTCGATGGCCGCCATGATCTCTTCCTCAAACTGTTTGACGGGCAGCTGCTCGCGCTCCATCAGGATCTGAACGACAGCATCGTTTAAGTCTCACGGCACGCTTTCATCAACGCAGACGTAAAGGTAAAGGAGACAGACCTTCTGCAGGTTTTCATCATGCTCCAGCTGGTACTGCAGCTCGTCGTGCAGGTCGCCGCTGATCTGCTCCGGAGGGCACTGAAGGGGTTAGAACGGGGTCTTTACAGAAGGCTTTCACCACGACTCGCTCCGATTTAGAAATCAGAGTTTTGTCAGGAAAACAAAGCACAGAGGGAAGAGCTGCACGACTCTGATGACTGTAAGACACCGAGTGTCTGCACAGCCTGTGGGACTCGAATTAATAACATGATTTCTGAATACCTGCTAATAAAGATCAACGAGCCACAAACTGATCCTACTTTAGGGTTTCAGGGTTCGTGAGACTCACGTAGGCCAGCGGCCCCTCGTCGATGTTGCTGCTGGTCCAGGGGTTCCAGTTGACCTGAGGAGGCGACCAGGGGACGACTCCGGCTCCGGTCTGCCTCTGTGATGGCTCGAAGTACGCCAGCTTCCCCTGAACCAGAGACACCGGGCTGCTGGGGTCTGCAGGCTGGAACATAAAAACCTTCATGTTACTGAATCGAATGTAAAGGCTCCGTTTATTCTGACGATGACAGTTTGCTTTGAAGAGCATCACCACATCACATCTGCAGTCCGGTGCACTGAAGAGTGTTTCACCGGTTTCATGCGTACGTCCACGAACATCAGCGCGACAGACTTCAGATTCGTCACAGCACACTGCTTTATTTGCTACGTGCTGCCTTTGAAGGGCGGGTTCGATTGACAGACACTGAACAGCGAGTGCAAACGCTTTCATGCGACTCACCGGTGGGGGGACGCTGACTCCGAGCTCCTGGACCACACAGGCCAGCTGCTGCTGTAGGTCTGGGGACACGTTGACCTCAAACGCCTCCAACTGTGCCAAAATAACAAAATCCTGTTTTAAAAACGAGCTGCGTGATGTGTCGTTCAGTCTCTGCCTGTTTTTAAACGTACAGTTTCTCCCTCCTTCTTCTTGGTGACCCCGGAGTACGCCTCGATGACTCCCAGGTGATACAGCTGTCGCACCAGAGACAGAGCGCACGATTGAGCCGCCAGCTTCTTGTTGGAGCCGTGCTCTCGAGCCGTGATCCCTGCAGAGCAAACCCAGCGACGTTTGACTCACACGAACAACAGAAAGCAACTGGTGTTTCATGGTTTCTGATCACATTTATCACAATTTCTGTAACTTTTCCATCCAGTGTTAATCCGAGAACAGGTCACTAAAAATCGAATTCTTCTCGGGCACGCTCGCACAGAGTCCGGTGTGGTTGCCATTTTGGTTTGTAGCTCTCTCTGCGTCCTGTTCTGACCTCTTTCACTGCTGATCATCTAAAACAACTTCAGCATTTAATAGGAAATGTTCTGGAGTCTTACTTCTGCCGAGCTGCTTCACAAAAAGCTGCATCTCTGCTATGAAGCTCCTGCAGACACAAAGACAAACGTCACGGCTTCACTCCTTGTTTCTAGAACAAAAGCATCAAACTGCACGTAGACTTAGGAGCTGAACTCACCTGCTGCACTCTCAGGAGGAAGCCTGCATGTTTTTCTGCCAGACTTTGGGATTTTTAAAGACCAATCAACAGCTTTGATTCTCCTGGCTGCGCTCTGCCCTGCGGTGAACAGCGACACCAGAAATCACAACCAGACTCCACCAAGCCCTGAGCTGCACCCATGGGACAGCTTTAGTGCACCTAAACACTGTCCCATGTCTTCCTTTGGTGTGGTTGTGAGTTCTGGCATCACCTCGGTGTTCTTTGATGGAGCAGGAAACTCACTCCAGCCTCTGAAAGTAACCTCCTGCCCAATTCACCAGCTGACATTTATCACAGCTCATTTCTCACATTACAACAATTCATCAACTCAAACCAGTCTGGGTTTGTCGGGCTCAGGTTCTAGTTATTCTAGTTGTTCTTGTTTCAGTGCGAGTTAGTTGTCTGCGCTCAGTTCGAACAGTGAGAGCTCTCTGGTGTAGCCGACACACTCTGGAGGTCTCTGGGTTTACAGCAAGTCCAGCAGAAAAACACACAGGAACGTCCTGAACATCAACCACCAACCAACACACGTCAGCTCTGCAGCGCGACACACACCAGCTGGGTCGTATTCAGGCTACTGTCACACATTTATGTGCACGAAGACAAAGAAGACGTGTTTACAGGTGTCTGGGAATACGATGATAGCTGAGCTGAGACCCAGCTGGTGCGTGCTGAAAGAGAATATAACCTTTAAGAATTTCATTCAACGAGGAAAATAACAGGAGAACTGAGACGGCAGCAGGAATAAAGAGAAAGATGTAAAAAGATCAAAAGGAAGCAGGAGATGAAAACGAGGAAACAGAAAGAAACAGCAGCAGAAGAAGGGGAGGACATAAAATCAACACGTCCTGTAAAACCCTCGCGCTGCTCTTTGGAGGAAATTATTTTAGAATAATCAGAAATTCCAAGTCTCGTTTTACATAAACTGGCAATTTTTTTATTTTTTTTTACAAAGAAGATTCAATTCAATTTTATTTATAAAGCGCCAAATGACAACAACAGTCGGCTCAAGGCGCTTCTGAGCGTTACCACCCGTCACTTCAGGCACAGCGCTCGCTCTCCGGGCGGAGCTTCGATTATTTGTGCCGAAGCCCCGCCCCCACCCTTTTGATCAACACTTTCAGCTTACACCCTCACACGTCTCCTGCACATGCACAAAGTTCCACAACAGCTCAGTCCAGAGATGCCACCATCTCTGACTCCTCCCACAACGCTGAAGAAACGCCATGTTAAGTTCATTCGTCGCCATCTTTACTGAGAAAACAACTAAAGCTGTTGTAAAGCTTTGCCGTAGCTCAGGCCAAAAATATGATTAGTTCGTGTTTCCCAGTCTGGTTGCCGAGCGGCTCTTTGGGGGCGGGGCCAATCTTTGCCATTATTGTATTTTCCAATGGATTTGATACATTTATGTAGAATCTGTGAGCTGAATGACTAAAATAAGCAGCGTTTATCAGAACGTATCAGTACAATCAGAAGCTGAATGTCTGAACATGCAAAATAAAACAGGTGTGTGGCTGAAGGTCGGCAGTGAACTCCAAACCAAATCCAAACTGAAGGGAAACAAAAGACAAACACTTCCAGCAGAGATTCAATCAATTCTCTTCAAATGGAGAAATCAAGTCCTTTGGTCAAAATCAGTTGCTTTTAGGAAATACTTCTGATTTTTCTTCAGCTAAAGAGAATTATTAAGCAGCTGAAGCTCATTAAAATCACAGACACACCATCAGCGTTTGTTTTGGCTCCAGCTGTGACCCCTCAGACTGGATCTGGTTTAGAATTTCCAGCCGGTCTAAAAAGCTCTGAGATTCCAGACCTGTTGTGGTCCGGTCCCACTTGGCTGTATTTATACTCGGCACTGGTTTTCTCCTTCTGGAAGAACTGGTTCAGACGGGCCTTGGCGTTCTCCAGAGTCCAGTTTCCGTGAAGGTTAGCGTTCAGATCCACTTCCTCCGACTCCAGAGTCTGCAAACAAAAACACAGGCGGGAGTTCGTTTAGCGAGGGAGAGAAATGAAACCTGAAGAAAAATAAGGGAACTCATTCTGGTTCTAATGATGCATCTGCATATTATTAATGGCCAAAGTTTAAAAATAGAAGTAGAAACGTATTTCCCGAGTGCCAGTTTTCTTCATGAAAGCAGAGTCCTCGGAGTGAAAACTTGGCTGGTTGTTCCAAGTTTAGTAAATCTGTCCAAGGTTCTGGTTCAGATTTGAGCTTTAGGGGGACGACTGTAACTTAGGAGCAGCTTACTTCCTGTTAAGGAGCTTAATGTTAACATCACCATCACCAATGCTTTTCACTGCACTGTAATTTGGAATTATCTTGTACCGCCTGCGCTTCCTGTTCGTCTCTCTTGGCGTAATACTCCTTCAGGTTGGCTCCTCGGTCCCACTGAGCTCCTCCGTCACTTCCTCCTCTGCCCCAACCCGAGTTTCCTGCTCCTGCGTAACCCAGTCCGGTCACTCCTGGAACCGGCCCACTGACGCTGCTGTCCCCTGAGAACAATAAAGAAGCAGAAAGAAGCCGGCTGAATATCTGAACCCGTTTAATCCGACCCGCCTCACCACATTAAAGTAAGAACTTGTGATGTTTGGAGTCGTTAAAGCCACCATGCTGCCGGTACCTTGCTCAGCTTTCACTACCAGGTGAGGTGGTAGAGGACCGCTAGAAGGGAGGTTTCCAAAGCCGGCATCTGCAGCTGCATCAGGTTGATCTGCGATGGGAGCGCTCGCCTGAAGGCAGAAAACGTACTTACTCATTTAAAAAAGACAAAGTGAGAGAAACGATCAGTTTTTATCTCTACAGAAAAAAACAGAAGGAAAAACAGGAACGGCTTCCTGACCCCGAGGGCCGGGACCTCTGCTGCGTTCATCTCTCCGATTCGGACCAGATAGTTGACAAAATCGCGGGCGGCGTTGGTCTGCGCGTCCTTCTTATTGGTGGAGTTTCCCATCCCAATGTAGTTGAAGCTATCGACTCGGACCTGCAGGGAGTACGGTGTAAGGTTAACAAAAACCTCACCGAGTGAAACCCCCTGATGTCAGAATGAACGCTCACCTCACACATAAACTTCTGCCTGTTTTTGTTTCCCGCTGCTCGGATGTCGTAGTTTGGAGTCAGCTTCTTTTTCCCACACCAGGCGTACAGGAAGTTCTTGATGTCCGCCATGGTGGACTGACAGGAGGGTCCTTCTCTTCCGTGGACCAGTTAATCTGAGAAACAAACTGCTGTCAAACTCCTTGATATTTAGCTTAGATCTGGCACTTACTGTGAATCATTTGGTTTGGAGTCACAGAGGGATGAAAGTCAGTAAATGTTGCTGAACTGAGGACGGATAATATCGCATCTAAGAAATTACTGCAATAACTAACTGGCCAAACTCTGGTAGAAGCCTTGCTGCTGTCTGCTTACCACCTTTTAAGATGAACTTTGGTCTTGCCTGAACACAAACGGGTCTTTGATAGTGACTCACTTATGTAAACATGGCTGTACGGATCACTTTACTCAACATAAATATGCAAATTAAATGAAGTAACTCAAACCCAGTCTTGATGGATGCATTTACTGCCCACCGCTAGGATAAATCCCGCTGTCTGCGGTGATTCTGGATACAAACGATAACAGCGTCATTAGCACAGCGGGTTGTTTTTACTGTGGGCTGGATTTCATAAAACACTGTTAGCATTCATTAGATTCAACTCTGTAATGTTTGGCTAGCATTTAACATTAGCCTCAAAGTGTAAAATTTAATTGATGACTTATAATCACGAATTTAAGTCACTTATCTTTAAACTTTCAGTACAATTTATATAAAAAATTGTTTCTGATAAATGCGTGACTGCAGGCTAACGTTAGGCCCCTGCTAGCTACTTATCACCGGAAGTTCAACTCACATCGCGTCGCAAAAAAATATGATTAAATTAAGAACAAAATGCGGGGGAAAATAATCCGAAGTATTTGTACTTACAGCCAGGGCAGAAAATTGAAAAGCTGCTCCACACTTCAGCAGCTAAGCGCCGGCAGACTATCAGCGTTGGCTTCCTCCGGTTACGCTTCACTTTCGGTTAAAAATAAACGTAACTCCCGGTGCTTCAGCGCCCCCTCAGGCCGGAGGGAGAATCGGCCTCCATCAAGTTCTGTTTCTTCTTCTTCTTTTTTTACTATCTTTTTTTGCCTTTATGGTTCTAACACAGTGGAGAGAATACATGGAAGCTGTGCTCCATGTTCCTCTTTTCATGAACACTTTGGTCAGTCATCTTTACACCAGCAAAACAGATTTGAGCTCCATAGTTATAAATGCCTGTTAAGTATAAATGATTCAACCTGCCAACACGGACGATGATGCAGTTCTACACTGCAATCATCGAGTCCATCCTCACCTCCTCCATCACCGTGTGGTACGCTGGAGCCACTATCAGGGACAAACAGAGACTGCAGCGTGTTGTGCGCTCTGCTGAGAAGGTGATTGGCTGCAGACTCCCATCTCTGCAGGACCTGTACACCTCCAGGACACTGCGGCGTGCAGCTCGGATCTCAGCTGACCCTTCTCACCCTGGACACAGTCTGTTTGACCTGCTCCCCTCAGGCAGGAGGCTCCGGTCCATTCGCACCAGAACCTCTCGCCATAAGAACAGTTTCTTCCCCTCTGCTGTTGGACACATGAACAATAACCGTATGACTGTTCCCACCACTAACACATGACCCTACGCTGTGTCACTGCATCATTCCATGTTTGGCACCGATCACCACCTGCACTCATGTATATATCTTTCTACGTAGCACTCATAAGTCTTATTCTCATGTATATATCTCATGTATATCTCATGCACATATCTTTCTTTCTACATAGCACTTTAATTCTTATTGTTTGCACTGAAGCACCGCAGCAATTTCCTAATGTTGTAAACCTCAACATCTGGCAATAAACCCCCATTCTGATTCTGATTCTGATCAAAACAGTGAAAGTTTTAAAGCCAGGCCATTATAAACCTTTAGTTTATATTTAGTATAAGTATTAGAAAAGTATAAAAGAACAGAATAGAATAAAAAATAGAACAAAATAGATAAAATATACCGAATTGATATTTTTTTGTATTCAGGCATTAACTCCCGTGAAACCAGCTGATCTGGAGTGTTTTAAAGATGATGTTTCTTGTACATTACAGACTTTAAATAAAACTTCTGTCATCCATCAGTCTGTGTTAACCTGAGCTCCTCTCCTGAAGGCACCAGATATTTAACCTGAAGGACCTGAAGGACCGAGCTCAATAAGATTTATAGATCACGTGAAAACAATAGTAGAAAATGATCTAACAGCCCTACCTGCATCTCTTAGAGTGTTTTATGTTCTTTTTTTGAGGAAACAAATGGATTTTCAGTGGGAACTTGATTTAATTTAGGGCATCTGAGGCAGAAAAAGAGGAAACTAAAATAGTATTTTCACATCGTAAAGACAAAACTGAGTCATTTGGTTCAGGACATTGAAACTTTCTGTATTTAACTACAGAAATTGTAGCTGTTCAAACATTAACAGCAAAGCAACAAACGGCGTGATCACATCTGATGATTAATTTGTTCCAACAGAAGAGACTTCACAGTTTCTAATAATAATATTTAGAGTATTTGCTTTAAACCAGGAGATTCTTTAACTGAGTTCAGCTTCTTGTTTAGATTTTTTAACCAGCGCTGAAATCAAACCAGAAAGTTTTGCAATTTCTTCACAAACTTGGCGATAAAATCTGCACTGAAGATTTATTATGACTCAATAAACTAAATGTGTGTGTGTTAAGGTGTGTTGGTACGGCAACACAGTCAGACTGGGTGCGACTCTGTGTGTAAGCAGGCAGGGTGTGTGTGATGGATCATAATGTGTGTGTGAGTAAGTGTGTGTCTGAGGCTCAGGGTGTGTCTGCTGGCTCACCTGCAGCCTCAGGACACATCTTACACATGGAAACTACCTGAGCAGCAGGAGGAGGAGAAAACGTGCCTGCAGGCGAGAGTCAGGGCTCCACAACACAAAACACTGTGTTTGCTCCAAACTCAGCAGGAGGTGAAATGTGCTTTCATCTGTGGCGACTGCAAATAAACGTCTGTGGCTGTCTTTGGTTTTTGAATAAAACTCTAACCCCGAGCACATCCTGAACCTTTTATATCTCCCTGAACGCACCGCGGCGATAATAACTACAGTAAACAGTTTAATTAAAAGGAAAGAACAAAAAATATTTTTCCTCTTGGAAAAATCTCGATTCCTCATCAGAACTATTCCACAACTTTGATAGATGACCTCATATTTACTGTTTCAAACATACTTTAAACAGTAAATATTTAATATTAGTACTCAGATTTTCTTTAATGTGATATCTTTCATATATTATATAGAATTAATTTTATACATATTTGTATGTGCTTTATGTAAGCTTCCCACATGGTTTAACATGAATTATCACATTTAAGTTATGCTAAGCTTTAACATAAACTTTGTAAAGTTGTATTAAAAATATTCAAATTCCTTATATAATCCCAACTAGTCTTTTAACTAACTGATCACAATGATTATAGTAATAAAGAGATGTTACAAACTGGATCTGCTGGAGCCACTTGACTGCACCTAGTGCTCCGGTTACCACGGGGACCACCGTTACCTTCACCCTCCACATCCTCTCGAGCTCTTCTCTGAGCCCTTGGTATTTCTCCAGCTTCTCGTGTTCCTTCTTCCTGATATTGCTGTCATTCGGAACCGCT